GAGAATAGCAATGTACACATTCTGGACAAACAAGATACATGGTTTAAGAGAAGAGTGAAGGAAACCATCTATGTTTAATTCAGAGCAAGCAAAGAACGGGGTCGACGACACCCCTAATCAGGTACTTATAATGCAGCCATTCACACCCCGAGGCATTTGACTCTTGGCTTGTTAAGGCCATGTAAGTTGGGAATGACAATTTATCGGACACTCATTAGTCAGAACTGAAAAATCAATACTTGGATGAAAGGTGAAATTCCTTCAAAAACCAAAAAGAGAAGTCCAGTTGCTTTTTGACTGAAGCTTTTAGGCTTGGGGGGGCCGTTTAGTGCTCACCCATTTAGTAAACTAAGGCACACAGTTTTCAGATAATACTTCAGATAAATACATAAACCTCTGTGCCTTGTCCAAGTTTGGTTTCAAGTGTGGAACATGCTCACTGTTGTCCCTCGCAGCAGATGGAGAAAAGAACGCCGAATATAATTGGTATATTCACGCCTTAATAAGACCAGCAAGATGCCACACTTCAAAACTTCCACAAATTAGCCATGTAAAGATGAAATTTATGCTTTATGAGGAGTGTTTTTACCAATATGCTGACGGAGGAGTTATTGGCTGGCTTGGCATACCTACACCAAGACAGTTTTTTCCCCATAGCAGAGGGAGGAAGTGTAGCCAGATCATTGGTCTGGCTATGCGACACTACCAGTATACCAAGTCATCAGTTAGTGATGCTAAGTGCATTCCAAGGCATATTGTCTAAGTAACACAGTGCAGTAGTACTGATTTAATGGAGACTGAACACAGTCATTTCCTTCAACCTGCCTCATCCACTGTACTTTTAATTTATCGTTACCTCTGTTTCCAAGAGATACTGTAGAAAAGTAATTTAATTTAATCCATCCATAGATTAAACAAGTGTATGATTGTGGAGGTGCTCCTTAAGCTAGCTACATCACCTTAACATTGGACAGGGGCCACTGTCACAGTGCAGCATACATTAGAGCATCTTATCATCTTAACATCTTAACATCTCCAGTCATGACATATTTTCGAGGTAAACAGAATATGTGGATGAGTCGTAGTTTAGTTACAGATTTAAATCAAAGCCTTAATACAAGATTGAATTACAAAAAGTGATATGGCGATAAAGAATTGCAGACACACTTCACCCATACTTGTGTTGTTAGATGAGGGGAAGACAAAGGGTGAACTAATCAGACCTCAACCACATTTCCTGTTTTCACAGGTTTACCAGCTCAAACGCACACCTCTCACTGGTACAGATGCCATCTGCAAACTACCCATTGAGCATGGTTTGAAATGATGGTCAGGCTTAGCTAGTCACTTGAAATCCAATTTGTTGGGATAAATGAATTTAACAAAGTTTAGGAACTGTCATCAAAAACTACTCACTTACATACAAAACATCCTTGAAATATTTTTGACAGCTAAATGGCAGCATTTTATGCTTGTAGTATTTTGACAGGCAAGCATCAAACTATAGTTCTACCTCTTAATACTATGATTGTAATTAGTTAGTGCAATTAGAATGTGTAGTGGTAGAATTACAGAAAAACTACTTTGTCTGAGGGAAACTGCTTCAGTGCTGACAACAGTATTGATAACTTGAAAACACACAAGGACAACTATTTTTAAAAATTCCAAAAATCAACAAAGTTTATTAGCAGTCCAATGCATACCCCCTCATGCACTCCCACCAAGTAGCCATGCTAACCCTGCTTTGGTCAGCGCACTATGCCAAAAGGGCAATCGTGTGGGCCAGTTAAGTAGGCCATTCTGACTTGAGTTTCTATGCTGCTCTCCACAAATAAGATCCTGAGTGTCCAGTATACCGGACGGGGTCTGTAGAAAGGAAAACAAGCTAAAATAACTACTATACTAGTAATACTAATATTACTAGTGCTAAATAAATAACAACTAAAACAGAAACCTTGGTGGGGGTGTAAAGGTTTACTCTTGAATTGAGTTCTTAATTACGCTGTTCAATGAATCAAAGTCATTTTAGCCAACTATTTCCAAAGAGTACTACAGTTATGCAGGACAATCTAGCAGATGTTTTCATTTAGGACATGTTTACATTTCTTAGCCAGTTAAGTAATCCCATCAAATCATTAACTGCATTTCACAGCTACATATGAAACATTCAGACAGAAACCTAAAAAATAGCCCAAGGACAATGAGGAAAAACCAACACAGTAAAAATGGAATAAAGAGCACAAGAACAGCAAGCAGATCAAATACACATTCAACATCTCAGTCACGTTACCTTCTTCATGTTGGCACCCACATAACTCTTGGCCTCCTCTTTGAACTGGGGTAGTCTGGAAAAAAAAACAATTGTTAATACAGTCTTTGGTGAACAATTTTCTGCTATATATCTTTTCCTGAGCATGGTCTAGGCACCATCCTAACAGGTACATGAAACTAATGTAAATTTGTAACTGAATAGTCTTATCAGTATATTGTTGGTACATATTGTGGGCAGTTGTATGCAGTATACACCTTGGGAAGTTGGCAAGCCAGAGGAGGCAGCGGGATGCTCTAATGACATGGTTGTTTACAACATATTAAGGTTTGAAGGAAAAGACACCATTCACTGCAATCGAGGAACTCTATGATTCAGTGTTTCTTCAAAATTAGATCTGTGGCAGTTTTCATGCCTTAAAATAGCTTAGATGTAACCATTGCTTCCTTTTCATGTGGCTATGGTTTCTCTGCCTCTCTCTTCACCACTTCCTGGAGTTTGAGTACACCAGCTCCCTTCTGACTGTGCTCAACCACTGTGTTGCTAATGTACTAAGCCTAACCCCCACACTATGGCAAGTTAAATTACTGGAGTAATTCCGCCATACATGTTAAAACAGGTAATCGATTCTGAAAAAGAAGGACACAGAAACCCTACCTTGTAAGCTGAGAGGATTGGTGCCTTAGGTTTGTTACGTATAAAACCCTTAATGTCTGAATCTGTGTTTTTTAGGATTGTCGTCAGTATGCTGCAGTTTCAAGGTGGATAAGTTTAGCTCTGATGCTTATTTTGCTCATGATATTTCCTCTAGAATGACAAAAAAAAAAAACTTCAAATGGACATGTTAACAAGGTAAAAATCTTGATTTTCAACAGAGGAGCTCCTCAGTACAACGGAGTGTAGAATGCGTCCTAAGCTGCTTAAAAGGCAATATCATGGTGGGAATCTCAACATTTTCAACCTGAGCCACAAATAAACTTTTCCAGTGTTTGATGAACAATGCTGGCTGCTATTCTCAAGGCATCACACAAAGAGTGAGTGTGTGTATGTGTGTATGCGTGTGTGTGTGTGCGTGCCACTAGGTTTCTGTGGACTCTAAAGCTTTGGTGGAAAATGAGATGTCACCACCAGTCACACACACATACACACAGACAACGAAAAAAAAAAAAAAGAAGTCGCCAGCCCCCCCCATCCCTCCCCCCGACATTAACTCAGCGTTAATAGAGTGTTGTCTTGCAAGCATGATTATTGGATGATCTGTGGGTCCAACAGATTAACATGCCTAATACTTTCAGCAGGCAATCTAAGGCTCCCGCTGAAGAGCTGTACAGAGCTGCTGCTCATTATTATCTGATGGGGGTGGGGGACGAATCCCAGATGCACTCACATCTCTATTATCTGGGGTCTGTGGACAAGTAGGGGGCTAGGGGTTGGACAAGAACAAAATGAGGTGTGTGTGTGTGTGTGCATGTGTGTGTGTGTGTGTGTGAGAGAGAGAGAGAGAGAGAGAGAGAGAGAACGAGAGAGAGAGCACTATCAGAATGAAGAAGCCTACACTACATTTATATCTCCTGTTCATGTGGCAGGGATATCTCGGTTTACAACTCTGGCTGCCATGCTCTATGCTCACACAGTAAAATCTTGTAAGAGAACATGATAACAAGGTGCCATAACAGTCCTGCCAGTAAATGAAAACAGGCAAAGAATGCTCGGAGGGAGTGTCAGCGAATGGCGACAAGCTTGGCAAAAACCTACACTGGACTTTGCTGGAGGAAAGATATCCCAGCACTTTGTGACAAATCCTGCGTCTAATAGTCTTGACAGAGTCACAGACACCTTCAGAGAGGAGGTGAATCAAACCATAACTTTATTTTGAGCTCTGTTTGTTCTCCAGCTGTGCTCCTTCACATTCAGAGCAGACGAGCCCTTTTTGTAGCTGATTTTTCTGATTGCTTCTGTCTGGCATGGCTGGCAATGCTAATTCTGTATGTGAGCTCATGCGCGTGTGTGTAGATATGCTTCTTAGTATTTATGGGGGTTGGAGCTTTTCTGTTGAAGCAGAGACCAGCTTCATCTATATGCAGATCATACAGTGTGCAGCTCAATTGGCTCATCGCCTTGTCTGTGACTGAATGTGACTGGCACTCTGATCCACGAGCCGAGGACTTAGTGGTTTGTGGGGATGGGGTTTTCTTGTGCGTCCAAATGCCAAAGGAGAAATCATGCTATAGCATTAGTGAATCAGTGGCCTACTGACCCTGTGCAGAGTGCAGAATTAAATTTATGAGCCTTGTGGGGGATAATGAGGCCTGAGAAACACATACATACAGAAAACCTCCAGTCTATAGTCCAGAGGTGATGGAGGAGTGCAACTGAAGCCCAGCCTGCTTCTGTTGTGGGGCAACTTAACATTTTGGGCTTTAAATTTAAAAGCTTTACATTCTCGTGCTGAGAAAAAAAAAAAAAAAAGCTTTGAAGCAAAATTCAGATAATTTAGATATCAAAAAGTAACTAGTTAGCTCCTAAGGTAGCAGAGCATTGTAACAGAATAAACGGAACTGCATTTTATATACTTAATCCTAACCACCATTGAGATGTACCTAAACACAACCAACTACATAACACTTTATAGCAGTTCATCGTTCATCCACCACTCTCCCATACATTTACCTGGAAAATAGTAGCTGCACCATGTCAACCAGTGTATGTTCAGCTGACTTCCTGAGGAGCTCTGTAAACACAAAAAAGAAACAGACATTAGTACCAAAGAAAATGAAATAGAGAATACTCCTATTGCAGTAGACCAAAGAGGGCACAAGGACAAAGCACCAACACTGGCACAGTTGAGAGTGGACGTAGAATTAAGCAGGCTGTTTCAGAAACGTTTGAATTAAAAAATTCAAATATTCATTCTCATTTTGTTCACTACCACAACAAAGGCCAGAGCATTTAAACCTCGAGGTGGTTAATGAACAAGTCATTAAACAGAATAAATAAGATGTTCGATAAATGAAAACTCCTTTATTTTAGTCAGTACTAGGCTGACCACACCAAAACAGCGCTGGTCCTAACAAGCTGTTGTAAATTCTGGTGTGCTGCAACAGCATGAATAATACCTGTGACCCTTAATTACAGGTTTAATAGATCAAGTCTTAACTAAGCTATTTTCCATTCTCAGATGAATGTATTTAATGATTTATAGGGCTCAGGCTTCCTCCCACAGTCCAAAGACATGCTGAGGGCAATTGGTGATTCTAAATTGTCTGTTGGTTTCTCTGTGTAGCCCTGTGATAGACTGGTGACCTGTCCAGGTGTCCCCTGCCTTCACCCTGAGTCAACTGGGATAGACTCCAGCCCCCCTGCAACCCTAGTGAGGATTAAGTGGTTTACAGATAATGGATTGATGGATGATTTATAGGGGCATGGAGTGGTAAAAAAGACTCTGTGAAATGTTTATTCCAAAGTCTGGGGGGGAAAAAAAGCATGAAATGTCCTGTCACAGTAGCTTGAAAAAACATTTGTATGACTGAATTTTTAATTAGACAACTGTCCCACAAATTTTTCACAATATTTGCTTCCCCTGACGCATTGTGTCTTTTACACCACATCTTAATAAGACTGCTCCAGAATATCATACTTTTAATAACACTTTGGTTTTTACATTTAATCATTCTTCATTTACTTCTTTAATGAAAGGCTACATACCTCAGACTTTTAAAGATGCTGAGTTAAAAGCTTTACTTAAAAAACCTAATCTAGATCCAGGTGTTGTAGCCAACTACAGACCTCCTATTTATTTCTACTATCCTTGAAAAAGCTGTTGCAAATCAGTTATGTGGCAAAAGTTCCTTTAAGCAATATTATACAGAAGCACTGCATACACATACATTGCTGTGGGGATGTCACCCAGATATATTTATTTATGTATCCAAATGAAACAAATCAATTCGTCAAACTCCAACCATGCCTTAAAGACATAAAACCCAGAATGACCTGAAATGTTCTTCTTATAAATTAATGCAAAACTGACGTTATTGTATTTCGCCCTAAATATCTCAGAAACACACAGTCTAACCAAATAGTTAGTCTACATTGCACTGGCCTCCAGTTCTACTGAGAGGAACCATGTTACTCTTCACCAGGTTATATCCCTTAACTCACACGTAAGTCTCTTTGATGGCCTTCTTCAACTGACACAATATTGTCACAACCAGGAGCATCCTGTCTCATGATGATGCTGAAAAACTAATTTATGCATTTGTAACTTCTTGGCTGGACGATTGTAATTCTTACTATCAGGATGTCCCAATAATTCTCTGAAAAGTTTCCAGTTGATCCAAAATGCTGCAACCAGAGTTTTAAAAAGAGCGAGAAACAAAATGTCTCCTATAATAACTTCTCCTCACTGGTTTCCTTTAAAATCCAGAGTAGAATTTAAAATTCTTCTCCTCACATGCAAAACCCTGAAAGGCCAAATCCCAGCATATCTTAAAGAACTCTTAGTATCATTTTGTCCCAACAGAGGACTTCAACCTCAGAGTGAAGGGTTTACTTGTGGTTCCAAAGGCTTTAAGTAAAATAGAAAGCAGCTTACATGTTGATAAGTGCTTGCTGCAAGGGGTAATTGTTGTGTTTTTCTGGTATTAGAAGATTTTGACATTAGTATGTAAAGTGGCCAGAGATGATATAACTGAGGATTTGTTGCAACATAAATAAATCTAAAGTTAGAAAAAATAAATTATTATTCAGTTGTATCCCTATCCCATTTGTCATCTCATGGATGGTCCAAACTTTTGTCCAATGTGAATGTTCAGAAATATTTTGGAATAGAATAGAATAGAACTTAACAATTTAACATCAGTTTGTAACTTGTCCTAGAAATGACTAACATCATATCAGAGTAATGTTTGATTGGCGTGTGACGAAACTCACCACTTAGGCGCATCTCGAAGCAGATCCTGAAGCAGGATTGCATGATCTCACAAACAGACTCGTTGGTTAGATGAGCTCCAACAGGCGTCAGCAGTAGAGTTCTCAGGACCTGAAGCAGCAATACAGCTTTAGTAAAACCCAGTGTATCTATTTTAATGAAACCAAAAGTAGTTATCTACTGCAACTGGTGAGTAAAATTATACGACTTAGACTGTTTTTATAATTCAGAACAATAAAATACCAACAAAAGCTACAAATAGGGAAATTCCCATAGCGAGTGCGAGGTGATAAATTGAATATTCAATACACTGACATGTTGGAGATAAAGAGAAACACTTTATCATTACCAATGTTCATTATGTGCATTTATGAGTGGGTTGAAGTATAATGCACAGGAACAAAATGAGTCTCATTTGTTGGATCTATCTACAAACATGTACCTGTAAAATTTTCATCAGGACAACTTCATCACTTGCAGGATCTGTTCCAACAAATCTAGCGTGTGTGACAGCATCTGCCATGTTTTCAATGGCCTCCGCTGCTGCTTCATGGTTAGCATCTGCAGACAGAAGACAAACATACAATTTTATTACACCTCATGCAACCATTTTTGTCCTGATGTTTGTTGTTTTTTTTTTTTAATAACTTTGGCGGTATTAATGTATATGGGATAAAATCTAGCAAAGGTGTGTATTTTGGAGGGAATTTTAAAATTTGAGCCTCTGCTCTGAGAATGCATCAACAAATACAGTGTGTACAAAAAAAAGTGACACTCAGGACCTTAAGGACAAGCATGTCCACACTGAAACCCAATAAAACTGCTATTTTTGACCTTCTTGCTATTACACTATGAAATCATGAATTCGATGTTATTAGGCCTTCATTCATTCCTCAAAATTTTAAAGCAAAAATTACAAAACAAATACTTGGTTGCAGCTTTCCAGATGTGGGTATTGTGTTCTATGACATTTAAAAGCAATTTCCAGGGGTTTTGAGCAATTCATGGAGCAAAGCGAGACATACTGGCTTCAACTGACAAAATCAAGAAAATAAATAATACATTGATAATAAATAAGAAAAAAATCTATAATTTAAACTACATATACACCGTTGCCCATAATTTTGGTTTTCAGACACATTCCTCTTCTTATTTCTATTTACACACATCAGCACTCATTTTGGATTTTGACCAGGTGGAATGATTCTATACTGAGTCCCAGTTACCAGTTGAATCGAATTCTGACTTCAGGGTATGACCAAAGAGTTAGACGCCCTGCCCATTGACACCATCGACAAGCTGGTGGACTTAACACATTGATCCATGTCAGGGGTGGCCATACTCAATATTAGTGACTGAGTGACATTTGCAAGAGTAATATTGGACATTCTTATGCATGAAATCCCCTCAAACATGTGTTTCCTGTTAAAGGGACCAAGGTTGAAAAACTGAAACAAAACCTTTAATCCTATTGCAACCGTGCATATGGACTATTTTCAGGGTAATATCACTGCCTTTGCATTTGAATGCTTATCTTGGTTATTAAAAAGGCTAGCAATGTATTCTGTATCTTTTTTTTTTAATCGTGTTTATTTGACAAAAATATTTGATGTCAAGAAACTGATGTTTTTAAATGTATCTTACTATAAAATACTATCACTGCCTTCTTGTCCACTCGTGGCCCATAAATGTCTTTTGACCACAACTTTCACATCATTACAATGAAAAGAAAATCCATGTCGGAAAACAATGTAGAAATTTGCTGTAATTTCAAAGTTGGAATTTCTGCTGTTTATTTTGACATGCAGCACATCAGAAAAATGACAGGAGCTTCATGAGTTACTCAGTTGAGACACACAACTGTAAAATAGGTGAAGAAACATATTACATTGCAGAAGTCTGATCTGGCCTTATAACATGAATGCTTTGGTTTGTACAAATGTGTGACAAGCATCAGGCAATGAAGAGTTCATGAGGAATACAAACAAGAGAACGGAGATTGACACAGAGCTGTATGCAGATAACAACTATAGTCAAATATGATGTAAATTCTAAATTATTCTTCCCATTAACAAATCTTTACACAATTGTCCGAAAGGTCAAGCTATGCAGTTTTGTTTGATAATGCATAGCTTGCTGCAAGAAATATTTCATAAGCGATCCAACCAAAAAGAACAGATTTTTGGGGGTCTTTTAAGTTCGAAGGGTTAACATGACCGACTATTGATTAAGGATTGTATATTTACTAGGAATATTATACTGTAATCTCTATTTACATCTGTTGTTATCTGCAGTTGCCATGTCCACTACATCCATTCAGACTCCAGGTGCACATCAGGGTGGTGGGACTGATCTAGACTCTTTTTACCTTCAGCGGTTTGGAATATTTTAGACTGAAAGAGGACACTATATATTGGTTGACTCCTCATTTCTAACACTCACTGTCAGTAACAAGAGGCACAACATTGTACAACTATGTGCTGCACGCAGGGCAAACATACTTTTAGAGTTAAAAAGAAATAAAAATCTGAATTTGTCACCATTCCAGTGGTAAGATAAATACAGGCTGAGACACAATATGTAAAAAGTGGAAGCGATGATTGTTAGTAAACTCAGCAACCAAGAACACATCTCCAGCAGCTAAATGAATAAACAAAACTAGACAAATCTAATATGGTCTGTCCATACTGTTCTTCGAATTCTGGGATCTAATGACCAGATGTGACCCTTTGTTGGAGGCAGGCTGGGACAAATTGGCTGTCAGAGCAACAGGAGTCGATGTTTTTGAAACCCAAGCGGCTGGCCAGCTATCTGCCTAGAGCCAGCCTGTTTTCCTTTCCCATCGCCCTCAGAAACAGCAATTCATTAACTAATAAGCAGTGGGGGAAAGGGGAGTGGAAGGATGGTGGGAGAGACAGAGAAAGGGAGGTACAGCTCAGGATTTTCCACGTAAAGCCACAAAGCAGCCTGTCAGCATTAAAGGTCTGACATATGGAAAAGATAGGATGTTTAGCGTTTAATGTAATACTGAACCTCTCTGTTTTAATACATGATTACAACATTAGAAGAATTAAGTTCGATTTCAGGAAACTACTCCTTTATCACGTTTGGGATATTTTAATAATTGCCAGTTAGTGTGAAAACTGGAGTGCATACAGTACATCAGTCAAAAGCTGGTTAACGGCTGAGAACTGTTTTTTTTGCGTTCAGAGGGAGCAATGCCAACATCCCTCCAGAGGCAAAGGTGACAACAAGCATGGAGGTTGTGCTGAAAACATCCAACGTCCAGATGCAGAAACTGGAGACACGGGGATCCAGCAGAATGTCAGAAGTGATATAAAACACTAATCCTTCTCTTGGCACACAGTCTATAGTGATGTCCAAAGGAGGGGCTTGGGGGCATTGTTAAAATAACACTGAGGAAAGGAGAGGCTTAGTATGTGTGTGTTTGTGTGTGCCTGAGGGTATGTGGGCAAAGTCAAGAGGGGGTTGAACCAGCTGCCACATAAAGCAGTTTAAGTATATCAAACTCTTGTCCCAAAAATCAAAGACGTGGCGTGAGTGAGCGTGAGCATAAGTGCAAAAGGGGCTGGTTTGTAGGTGAGCAACACACAAAAAGCTCTCAAGCTGCACTCTACATGAGGGCCAATGCATCTTTAGAAACTAAACAAAGGGAGTGCTGCTTTTTTCATGGCCAGAGAAATAAATGAGTTTGTTCACCTGTTCATCATCTGAATAGCACAAGATCACCTTTCAGGCCAGGCTGCTTTACTCACAGCTTTTGCCACAGTCAGTGTGCACAGTGATAAATGCATGGAATGCATAGAGTCTGTTTTTGGATTTTGTTTTCTTCCCGTTTGAAGCATTACATTCAGGAAATATTCAGTAATTGCTTTGTTTGCAAAAAGCCAAAAAATGCAATCAAAACTAAAAATATATAATACAGCAAAACATAATATAATTAGGCAAAGTATGTCCCTATGTCTTCTTTATGGTTGGGTGGTTTTGGATTATCAATGATGCATGGTGGAAATCTTGCTGAGTCCTAATCTATAATCTTTCAAATCTATAAACTGTCCTTATAATGTCATGTGCATGTTTTTCCACCTATCATCTGGTTTTACCTCTGGAGGTTTATATACAACTTTTGGATTATTCATTTTTATATATATGTTCATTTTACAAGAACGTGATATTCTAGCTATTTAGAACTTAATCTCTATAAAGTTAACTTTTTTCTTTTTATTATTATTTTGTCCGTTTTATTTATTTTCATATATTATACTTCCTTACATTAATGTTTTTATATTGTACTTCATGGTCATTTTTTTTTGCTCATGCTAATTATTTGCTTTCTTCTTTTATCATAACAGCCATTTTATTAATGGATAACATTGTATTTAGCCCACAAGTCAAGGCAGGCTACAGTTGTACTCTAACATCATCTCTTCTGGCAATAGCTGCAGTTTAAGCCTCAGCTGAGCCTTGCTCTGAGCCCTATGTGGTCTAGTGACCATGCGGCTGCGAGCAGCACAGTATGGGACTTTGCTGACTGTGCTGAGCAGGAGAAACCAAGAGAGAACAAAGGAGGGTCAAAGTTGGAGAGATGAGCAGTGGCAAGCGAAAGGATAGAGCAGAGTTCTGGATATCTATCAGCAACGAGGCTTAGTTTAGTGCTCTCTCAATGCCACTAGACCTTAGACCACAGATGAGAGGAATTACCTCTCTCTAAAAGAAACGTGCGTGCTCGCGTGCGTGCATGTGTGCGTGTGTGTGAAATGACTGCCTAGATAAACAACAACAAAAAAAAGTTGGTGCAGGGGAAAGTGTTCAGGGTGACACACGAGAAGATCACATTCTACACAACACCCAAGACAAAGGGGAACACATCTGTTTGCTACAAGTTAATTTCTTATTGCAGATTTCGAGATGGATGACGGCGACATATGTCACATGTATAAGATATTAAGCGTTAACTTGAGGCATGCAAGGCATAAAATGTTACCAGGAATCATCGAAGTAGGTACAAAATAAAGCAACAAAATCACGTCCATCTACATTAACAAACGTATTTTACTGCAGATGAATAAAACAAATTGATTTAAAAATACTTTATCACAAGTAAACGTACTGCTTGTTTGTCCAAAAGATGGAAGAAAATCTGAATCTATACGAGACATTAGCCAAATGAAGTGCAAATCAAAGATTGTTAGATCTTTTTATTTCTTTCCAGCCAGGAGATGGCAGTACCTGACAAGACCAGTGTTGTTTCTACTTTCTGTGCAGCTTTCTACTCATATCTGCTCAGTTATTCTAAAAGCATGATCAGTTTTATGTATTTCCTGAGGTGGGTTGGGTGGGTGTTAAACTGTATGCTAGTGTACAGGACATGACAATTATTATACAGTATATTTTCAAGACATAGATTTTAAGCTGGGGTTAGGGTTGGAACTTATGGTCCTCGTGTTAGTAAGGGTGTAAGTTATCTTTTGTTCCGTACCTAACTCATTTACTTTATGATTTATTTGGCTTTGCTTGTGCAGCACTGCATCTATCCATCAACATATCTAACCACTGTCTCTATTCAACATCTCAACCAGACCAACCTTGGTTTAAGGGATAAACAATGATGCCGAGCTGAACAACAAAAATAGAGAATAATTCAGCACTCCCCTTTTTTCAGAACAAAATGTCTGTTATGTATTTAATATTGTGCAAAAAATATTGCAAATGTTTAAAATTTATTTTAAAAAAAAACAAAGAAAATATGGGCCCTGTATCTTATATTACGCACTTGTTAAGGAAATAACTTATTTAAAAACTCATTCAGAAGCTGTGTAACATGTTGCAGTTCTACAGATAACTCAAAAGTATTACTGGGTACAGTATAACTCTCTCTGAAAACTTAAATCCTAAACACATTCACTCCACACTTTCATGAGAAAATACGTCTTTAGTCTCCTCTGGGAGCTTCTGACACATTCTTCAGATCAAATTTCAATACTCTTTGAACTTGCATTCAATCGCCTGCTCACAGCCCCACTCAGCCCCCACGACTAGAAAAATATTGGATGCATGGCTGAGTGAAACAAGAGGAGAGGCGAACGTGTTAACTGGCTGCTGGAGACTTTGCACTGTTTGACGAACAAAATTCCAACTGAGACGTAGCAGGTTTAATTAAGTTGTTAAACTCCTGTCCTGTTTTTTCATACTTCTTGCAAGTGAAGAGCAGTTGCCTTGCAACCAAGCTGCATCACCGCAGTTGTGAATCTCGTAGAACACTGCTGATGAGATGCTGGTGATGGTGCCGTGGCGTCAGGATGAGGGCTGTAGGGATTAAAGCACCTGCTGTCAGGTCTGGAGTGACAGACAGGGGCTCTAGGACTAAGAGGGCAATTTGTGAGGTGATATTTGAACAGATACTGTGTGTGTCTAAAATGACAGTCCTTTTAACCTGTAGTCTGAGACATTTCATTGTGAGTCTGAAAAGCACTGACTGCTCCTGGTCTTCCGTTTGATTTATTATCCACAAATTCTCAACATTCATCTGTCCCAGAAAAAAATTCACCATACATGGAGAACATTTGTCTTAAGAAGTTTCAGTTCAAACATAGAATACTATCACTGAATTTTTTTCTCACTGCAATGCAGTAAAATGAAAATTATAAACAACTGAAAGGATCTGGAAAGCAGGACCCAGTAGCTTTTTACCAACGTGCAATGTTCCTGTAATCTTAAGCTCCTATTTTGTTTAGAAATGGCTGCAGCTGTTTTGACAGCATTGTAACATTGACTCAGCCTGGCTATTTCAACTAACATCTGGTGATGCATACACATTTCACACTGAACAAAACAACTGGCAGACACTGGGCCATATTTCGGTGATGAGGCTAATGAGGACAGGCAGTCCTGACTGTATGCCAGCACAAGTCAGTTTCTGCATGAATTATGAGAATAGAGCATTCCTGGCATTCCTTGACTGACCTGATGTTGAGCAATAGGACTGGCTACTATGTCGCTTCCCTAAAAAAGTCAGTTTCAAGAGTGTCCAGATGATACATTAGGTGTTCGAAACGGAGTTACTGCTTCTTTATTGTAAATACGTTGGTAAATATCTACGGTCTATGACTACATTATATTTGTATAGATATACGTTTGACAAAAGATTACCATGTTACACAGTATACCAAGTGATTCATAATTAAACAGAGCAGTTTGTGCTCATCTCCAGCTGCTGTGTAAATGTAAACTCTTTCTAGATAAGTTTTCTGAATATCAACATCTGATCATCGGTCATTGTCCTAAACACACACGTTAATCTAGATTCTACCTGCATTGTGACCTGATGTCAGTAGGTAACTAGAAGGGCTGTCAGAAGGTAACTAGAAGGGCTGTCAGAGAGCACCATCAAGGCAAAAACCAATCTCACAGTTTTAAAGAAAGTGGTTCAGAACTGCACCATTTAATGGATACTTTCCACCTCTTTAACAAAATTTGGCCAGGTAGTCTGTTTCTAATCTTGCCAACAGACAAACACACAACTAAACAACAATTACAACATTAAGGGTTGTTGTTTGTTTGTCGCACGTAATGAGACAGAGCTGATGGACATTCCCATCCCCATCATTGGAAGCAATATGAGCTCCATCTTTTTTTTTCATTTGCAGAGGAAGAGATTTTTTTTCTAGCTTGATGTATGGAGGGCAGCTTGAGATAGCTTAGGTCAGCCAGGAGGAATTTGTTGTCAAACTGTATATCCAGCTAAACAGCTAGACTGATCTATATAGTGACGTAATTAGGCGGCTCTATGGTGGCTGTCTAGTCCGTGGGAAAGCAAACAGGTCTGAACCACCTCTGAACCACAACCTGGAACTAAGAGTACGGTTCACGTTGGTGGATAGGGGGTATGCTATAGTCCATTTTTACATGAAATCATTTAACGTCACAATTTGTATTCATAAGATTTTCAGCGTTACCACATGTACATACACAATAAAGATGCTTTTAGGGTAAAACAGATATGCCAGTTTTTCTTACCTATAAGGCCGTAGGAAAGGAACTTGTTGACAGAGGTAAGGGCAAGGCCTGTGATTGGTCCAGTGGTGTCCTCAGAGCGAACCACTTCTAGGAAGGGTCTCAAGAAAACGTTGGGTTCAACATCTGGCAGCTCTAAAGAAGGACACACAAACAAACTGCATGAAATCAAAGAACCTATCAGTGTTAACTTGTACTTATGTATCACCACATGAATAGTTATGTGCATTTTAGGACAGTTTGACAATGAAATTTTAAACCTTTTTGTCATGATGGAAAGTAAAACGTTCAAAGAAACACTAAAAATAACAAAACATTAATCTAATATGCTGCAATTGTTATGTTTTCCAGATTGAACCCTAACAGATAGTTAAATTATACTTTCAAATATCTCTATATCTCCTCTCTGTCTCTGCATTTCAGGGCAAAAACCCCACGTGCAAGGTTCATCTGTGAAGGCTTCAGCCTTAGACATAGCTGGGGAGAGAGAGAGAGAGAGACAGAGAGAGTGACAGACAGACAGAGAGAGAGAGACAGAGACACAGAGATAGACACAGAGAGAGAGAGACAGAGAGAAGGAAACACAGGGAAAGAGAAAGAGGAATGTGCAGGATTTTAAAGAAGCGGGACAAAGACAGGGACAGACAGAAGTCCAATTAGTCAGCATGACAGCATTAAAAAGAATCGTTCCAATGTTATGGGAAATAAGCTACACTCACTTTTTTTACAGTTGTGTTTTTTATTTATTGTTTGTTTGTTTGTTTGTTTGTTTTTAATCTACCAGTTACATGATCCAATATTCAGCATTTTTGTTATTATTTGTATTGTTGCTTTTAAGCAGTTATTGATTCAAAAAAAATAAGAATTTTATTTGAAAATGCACGACTTTGGCTCTGATGTGTAATCACCATTCTGTGGTGTTGAGCAATGTCCCACCCACAGCCCTATCTGACCGGTTACACGTTACGAGTAACAGCCAACATTTATCTTTCAGTGTTAGTGCTGCAGCTCTCTTTTAATTAAACACATGTAAAACGTAAACACAGCTTTGTGCTGAAGTTTGTTATCTAAATTTTCACACCGAGATTTTCATTTTTATTGCAAATGTGTATTGGTTCCAATTATAATTACAATATAATTAATTCTAATAATTATTATCAGCCCGAAAAAAAAGCATACTGTTGATCCCTTTCTGTTTAAATAATAAGGTAGCGTTTTCAATAAAGACATAAGTAAAGCAATCTCATGTATGCTAGGTACAGAGCAAGAGTCAGGATGTGATTCGGCTTGCTGAAAATATAGACTGGAAGCAAAAAGAAAAGGCTAGTCTGGCTATGTCACCTAAATTTTAAAACTACAGCCTCCAACACCTGTTAAGCCCCTTTCAGACATGGGACATGGAACATTGCTGAGTTCATCAATTTGTTAAAGTGACGCCATTCTGTCATTCAAGCCCCTTTCAGACAGAGGTTACTTTTCTATTAATGTTTCTCTCGATTGCAATCAGATGTACCGCCACAGTGCCAGAGAGCGCTGGATTACACATGCGATATTTGTCATTCACGCACCAAGACCATGTACCAAGTAATGAATAAAACATGATAATGCAATAACAGACACTTAAATTAAACTAACAGCAGATGATCAAAGTGTCTGAATAACTAACAGCCCAGTTCATCTCTGATTTCTGCTATCCTCACCCCAAACCCCTTCTGCTAAGTTGTATTGTTATGGACATTCATTTTGTTATCGAACACATTTGACATCGTAGAGCAAAGTGCGTGGAAAAGGTGCATTGTGATTTGACGATTGAACTGTGAATTAAGCCTCTGTGATGTTTTTGAACCAATAGTGGTGCTTACACGTGGAAAAATCCTTCCTTTAATCACTTTACACAACTTAAAGTAACTCTGCTTGTGTGTGTCTTTCTGTTAATGTGAAGTTTGAGTTGTGTTGTGTTGGGTTGAAAGTGCCACAGAAATGGTACCCAGGCCAACTTGTATCAACCAGCAAAGATGGGTTTACCAGAGCTGAAGAGTGGAGCAACCATACAACAGATAACAGTAGTCTGATTCACCAGATGTACACTCTGAAATTTTCAGGTTTAGCCAAAGATTTGGATTGTGAAGTAAGGCAGCACTGCTTGTCTTTTTCAGCCAATTTAGTGACAGTGCCCACCTCACTGCATGCAACTGTATAAGCAAAATATTTCCCTGTGACTATTTTGCAGCCCTGTCCAACACTGTTATGACTGGTTTGAAGGAATACCAGCAAGCCAGAGCATTTATTCCCCTTACCTGAGGTGCAGCCAGACCATTCTGCATCACTGACACAGCACTGTGGAGATAGGTCTGGCTAAGACTGACAGCTACAGCAACAAGGAGCAAAACCTTGTGAAGCACTGACTGTGTTTTTGTAATTATTCTCTTTGTCAGGAAGAGGAGATAAATGTTCTGTTCTGCAGGTTTTAGTGCTATTACAGCAAATGTAAGCTGGAGACCGGTCATCGTAAACTTTCTAAACATTAGCATGCTAACATTACCATTCCAAGTAGATTACATTAGATTAGAATAGAATAAAACTTTATTGATCCCTTCAGTGTAAAACCTCAGGGAAATTGTTAATTAGGTAGAATTATATAGAACTTTATTGTATGTTAGTATGCTGACAATAGCACTGTTGTACAGCCTCATGGAGCTGATAGCATGAATTTAGAATGATTAAAGTGAATAATTAGGATTAAAAACAACTTAGTGTTCCCGTACCTCCAGAGTCAAGAACAGCTCGTATAGAAAATGCGAAAAGCTGCAGGTTTTGCACCACAAAGGCATCCTTAAATGTTGATGTATTCTTTAAAAAATTCTAAATAAATAATGACTAATGTGTCTTTTTTTATAACCTCAAACAAGCCATTAGAGAATTGACCACAATCAAGTATTACAGGAGTGAACCATAACTGTAACTGTCAATGAGCAGATCTTCCTCTGTAGTTAGTTCACAGAGAAACATGTTTTGCTGGGCATTACACTCTGGGAAACCACCTTTGTCCAATCTACCATGACTGGGGTAGTGTCTCTCCTTCTCTGGAGGAAGGGGGTCAAGAGGGGGGAAGCAAAAATACAAAACAGGTAAAACAACAACGGAGAAAATTAGTAGAGTCACGCACGCTGCTGTGAAATGTTGTGCCAGAGGAGTGCTTGCCACAGCAATACCATGAGGATTATGGCTTTCTTAAGAGCAGCTCCACTCCAGACAAGAAAAAATATCTTGGACATCAAAAGCACCAAGCAGAGTGTCCAACCAATTTCCAAAAGTGCACATGTGACTGCTGTGCATTAGCGTGTGATATCCAATACCCCTGCGGCTTGTTTATAAGTCAAATATGAAATAATTTGGAAATTTACACAGTCCCTTTATCAGCTGCCAGGTCACTTTTAGGCCTCGCTTTCAAAAGCATAACTCCCTCTTCCTGCATTATTGAATATTTTTTCATCTGGTGTTTTATTTTAGTTATTGTCAAATCTGAAATCTTGGGAGCAGTTTTGGTTTAAAGGGTGAAGGGTAATACAACGAGTAAATTTAGCAACGACTGCACAAAAAATAAATACCTTTTCCCATGAAACATAACACAAACATAAGAATTAAATAGAATAAAAAATCTGCGTTAACTTGAGACAGTGAGGTAGCTGTGGTGGTTTGATCTGTGTGTCAGCTGCCAGAAAACTTTTCAAATAGGGTTTTAGTGTCCTATTACTTTACAGTGTGAAAAAACATGTAGTAAGGGTGGAAGGAGGGTGCTCAAATGAATCTGTCAATAGATCCTGATGAAGACTTCATCAGAGGCGATCACCCTGTAAGTGCTATGGCTGCGTTCCCAAAGACCACAGATTGGAAAACTCAATTGTGTTGTATTGATCCAGCTGGCCATCGGTGAACACAGGGCTGACAGGAGCAGTCTGTCTGTGGCCACCACCAATCTTCTTAAATAAAGTCTAAATACAGGCTCTACACTTCAACTCAATCTCCAGGGCTTGTGGAGTGGAGTGAAATAAATAACGACAGCCGCGACCATGGTGAGGCAATCATTCTATAACTAGGTTGACCTCTGGCTGACATTGACCAAAGTAAAAAAAAATGCAGGATTAAAGTGGCTCACCCAGCCGTGCATGTTGCCATCTAAGAGCCGGGTCTGCTGGGTACAAGTCCTGATTTAAAAGTGCATACAAGTCCAACTCCAGTTAAGCTTAATTGCTATATAAAAAATAAAAAATGCAAAAAAAAAAGGTTTGTAAAAATGAGCCCATTACGATTCACCATGAGCCTAATCCTATCTGCCTTTACTATGCTGGAGCCCCATCTTTCTGATTGGAGCTGTAGTGAGAGTATCCAGCCATGTGTGGATTACCTCTCCAAATGACCCCAGCAAAGAGAAAGAGGGGAGGTAGGGGTGAACCTTTGCCCCCAGGAGAGCACCTCACGATGAGGCCGGCTCACTGCAAAAGAGAAGCCATCTTTAACACATGCACATCTATTGGCACTGGAGCAGAAAAGGCTTAAAACACAGGAACAAACAGCAGGAGATGAATCTGAGCTACAGATGCACCTTATTGTCTCGACGATAAAAGACTATACTGCACACAGGAGATTAACCAATGAAACATAAACAGTATCTACACCCAATCACAAAATCTCTATTAAAAACATACAAAAATTTTTCTGTGGAGTCTCAAAGATCTGTGTAAGTCTTTCCAAGCAGAGTCACAGAGTTATACAAACAGGCCTGCCCCCCACAGAATTACAGTGTCGAGGAGCTCAGCGCTCTAGAAGCAAATATTAAGTTCTTTTAATGGTCAAGAGATCAAAGCAGAGGAAGATTACATTCTTATGGTCCCAACATTTCAAGGGAAGAACTCCCATGTTTTACAAAAGCGAGCGAACAAAGGACAAACTGGATATTGTCCATATTATGAAAGAACGTTGCAAAAACCTTAAAGAGGTATACCTCAAACCCAGGGCTCAACAGTGCAGCAGCACTGACATTTTGGGTGGATGGAAAAACATTTATGTGCATCTGTATGACTAACTTTGAGTTCTGACACCCAGGTAGCAAAACACCCACATTTGTAGTTGTAAGG